GCAACTACAACCATTTAGAAGACAGTGAACGTCGTTGGATGTCCTCACAACGTGTGCGCAATGTCCTACGAGAGATCTGATAATAACTGTACACTAACCTTAAGGGTTTCTTTGATTACGCATGCGTGTACTTACAGCTTGATGTTCGGTTGTACTCTTCGCGTAATAGGATTTAACCATACCAAGTTGTCCCTCACGAAACTACAATAGATTTATATCAAATTATGAAGATAGGGCAAGTTCCCTTCCTTAGGATAATCTCTTAATCTCCAAATCATTATCACTCAATCGAATGATTTCTGATAAAAATTTGTTCTTTTACTCAAAATCCACTCGCGTGAATTTCCATTCTTATTTGAAATTGGTCGAGAAGTCTTTCCATCTTGGCTCGAATAATGATTTTGATTTTATTCCTATTCGCAATAACCAAAGCAGCAGCCGTTGGTGAATTGTGCAGCCAGGTTACTAAGTTATTTTTCACAAAATGGCAGCCTCCATAGTCAGATTTTTAACGCATCAAAAGACCACTCCCGACCGGTTAGAAATTAGATCACTCTTAGGAATGTCAAAAGTGGTAAGTTATGACTTAATATTCCTTTAGATTAAACATACTTTTCTTTCAAGAGCGTTAGAGATAACAACTGACCTGCAGAATGTGTTTGTTGGAGTTATGAGGATCTACAGACACTCCAATGTCAACAAAAGGTTTGATAAACAATTCCCTTGTTACTTTAGCAATCCTCTCTGTGATGCTCATCAGTGACAAGGGTGTCATGTTACCAGTCACGTTCCATCCCCCCATTTGGTCAATCAACTTCTTGAGCGGATCATCTCCCAGAGCCTCGACAGCCGCTGTGTTATTGCAGGCGTTGAAGAAACCCAGTGTCTTCATAACAGCGTCATTCTGGAAATGAAAGTGATATGCCTTGGTCAGCAGAAAAGACCACAACGAGGGAAGAAAAACAGCCCATAATTTTACTTACTTGTAAGTAGTTTCTGTTGGCATTTTCTAAAGCGGCCCTGAGTGTATTGTAGCTTCTCTCTCTAGCCAATGTAAGGCCAGTAACAAACGTCTCACTATCTCCTAAAGGGTTCTCGTTTTCCCATCCGCCGCACACATACTCGTAAAAATCCTCACAAGGATCAACACTCTGATTCAGCTGCTTAAAGGCATCTTTACAAGAAGAAAAGAAAAGTCCGGTCAGTAAACCATGAAGGACAAGCTTCTTTTTTTTGCATCGCTCACCTCGCACTTGCCTCGCACTCGCTTCGTGCTTACCACCGATTGCAATAATACTCAGATCAAATAAAATTACGCCTGTTTCACAGGCTACAGGAGATAGGGATTATTTTTCTGAATGTATTAGCTGTACTAGCCATTGGAGTAAGTAAAACGAGAATAAATACTTATATTATATTGTCTCAAAAAAAAAAAAACAAAAAACAAAAAAAAAGACAAAGAACAAAAAAACATGTCCGTTTGAACTGAAAAGTTCAATTGTCTGGCGTGAATGGTAAAAAAGCCGTCATTTCTCGTATCTGTGAAAGCCGTGGTTATTTTACAGAATTACTTGACGGCGCCCTCGATCGGTTTATCGATAGTTGCTCTAAGGAGTCAAAAGAGGAACTCGTGTTTTACAAGTTTCACTCGTTTTCTGGCAAAATTCCGCGTGATAAATCTACAGAAAGTGCAAGGTATATTGCCTTTTAACATAGCTGAGAAACTATGCGCACTCTGATTGGTCAAAAATATATAATTTTTCTAATACCAATAAGCTAATTCTTATTTCTAAAAAGAAAAAACATCACAGCAGGGTAGTAACTCACT